TAGGGAAATCCCCACATCCTAGCAACAAGTTAACATATTATACAAATATAACCAATTCACTATAGCTTTATGGTCTCAAGACTAAACTAAAACAAACCAAAATATTCTGAAGTCTAGTTAAAATGAACAAACTCACTAATAAAAATTGCCAAGTCGGTAAAAAGTCAGAATTAATTAAAGACTCTCATGAAATTAGGTGGGTCAAGTTTAAGTAAAGTAAGTGGCAGTAAATTGCCTTCAGACATTTTCAGTAGACAACTAGTTTAAAAAAACCCAACTTGACATTTTAATAGAATGTGAGTAAATACTTACCTGTGGCAAGATACATTTGGTAAAATTTCCATGGTACAACAACCACCCGTGTTACTATGTTCTTTCAATACCGTATAGTTGCTCCTTATATAAGGAACACGTTTAATGATAATCTTCTATTTGTATGGCATATATGACTGTAGCAGTTTAAGCTTAATATGTATGATTTCCAACCCTAACTACTCAGTACACTTTGACAGCAGACACCCTCTGTCAGTTGATAGTGCATACATGCTGATACAATTGAGGGAGTATATTTTCACATCTTTTTTGTTAATGAAAACCAAATCCTCTCAGACACGAAACTATTTATCTGAAATGATTGCAGTAAGGTCATACTGTAGGCCTGAAATTTTTTGTTTAGTATTTGAAAAGAGCACACTGGAATTACACAAGTCTAAAATTGGCTATAGCCTATGCTGAATGCTAGTTCTATAGTTTCTCAGGAGCACTTCAAAAAATTGAGGGAACTGAGTTCTCTGATCTTGGAACAGTGTACTCTGGCAGCTAACAACATCCTAGGATAAAAAAGACATCGCATGCAAAATTTACTTACAAAAATTTAATTTAAATAATGCATTAGAATAATGCTTAGAACATTACTTAATACTTGAAATTCATCTGAGTAACTTACTTTATGGAATTATATCAAACACTCTCTGCACAAGTGTTGGGTAACACTTAAAACATACTACTTTTTCTAGTATTTCCTAATTTATAACCGTCTGTACCTGAGTATCATTGGAAGAGACTGATAATCTGTCATCAGGTAAAGATGGTGTATAAGCAACAGAAATTGGAGTCCCTGGAATTCCATTTGCCTGAATGTTTTCACTGTCACTGCCATCCTCTAATGTTACAATTGTGCCATCACCACCTGCAATTTCAGCAGTCCCTTCCATATCTATCAGAAAAGATGTAAAAATTATAAACGTTAACATAAGAATGCAAATTAAGAAGAGCTTTTAAATCTAACTTTTAAATCCTAAAACAATGATAAGCAAATTACTGTAAGGAGGTGTTTAAGGCAGAATATACATGGCATTACATAACTAAAAAAATTCCAAATACTCTTAACTTCCAGTAATGAAAATTACAATAAAACAATTACTTGCAACTTTATATTGCCAGGTTCACCATTCTACCAACTTTTCAAGAAGTACTGGGGGAAAAAAAGAAGTAACCGATTTGACACACACTTTCCAACAAACTGACAAATGCAGTGCCACACTGCTACTACAGAGACAGGGCCATTTGTGAAGAGTTTTACGTTGAAATAAAACAGAAAAAAAAAAAAAGGAACAAGAATTTGTATTTTAAGAAGAACATTAGTCTCCAATATAGAGTGTAAATTAATGTACGAATTCTTGTCCATTTAACTATTAAATAATGCACAGCTAAGGTCAGACAACTGAAATTGCTTTCTTCAGCACGTTTTACTTAAATAATGACATATATTAGTTAAATATTCAGAAGCGTTAAAAAAATTCTTAAATGTCAAGATTCAGACTGCAGTCGATGTTGACTAGACAGATATTAATATAATACCTCCAACTACTATGTTCACCATTTCCTGCACAATACTTTCTACAATTTCTTGCGCCTTCTCTTCACACTCATTGCTTTCGCCATCGTACGTTCCTCCATCAGCTTTAGAAAGATCTTGAAAAAGAAAAATGAACCCAAACAAATATTAATGAGAAACTCAGAAATTAAGGAGATATTTTACTTGCATTTGATATTTAAAAATTCAATTACAAATCTATTAATAGGAGAGTATATGTTTAAAAAAGCCATGTTTGGATACTTTGAAAATAGCATTAGCAGAACATAAGCATTCCAGTGTTTAAGCTGTAAATGGTAATTAATCCACAGGCCTATACCACAAAAAAGACATCAATTTCATATTTTCATGTACATTAAACACTGAAAACTTCCTAGTTTTGAGATGTTATTCTCAAAAACTTTCACAATATTACAAAGGTGCAAAAAAGAATCTTTGCTACAGTGACCACAACAGAGCGTAGGACTAAAGTATACTCATGATAAAGTTTAACAGTGATAACAAGAACAACAGGTATTTTGCATTAGTCAACTATTTGAAAATATATGCCGGACTCCAGATTTGGGAGAGGTGAAAAACCAGATAATCCTCAAGGCTTTCTTTTTACAGACCTTTTCCCTCCCTCCATGAAACAGAAATACACACTGATTACTTTCTGCTGCTGTTGCTTGGTCAGCTTCCGTCTGTTCGTTTTCAGCACTAGAAATATCAGATCCATTTTCTGCCTCTGTATCTTCTTGAACGTTCTTGTCCACATCATTTGTGCTGTGGTCAAGCTCTCTCTCATGTTCTTTGGACAGCTGATCAGTCTGTGTTGGAATATGTCTCAACTGAGGTGACTCAGGCTCATGATGGCTTACTGGAGACTGCTGTAGATGGTGTTGCTGTCTTTGTCTTTCCTTTTCCATCTGTTTGGCTTCCTGAAGCTACAAAAGCATCACAATCACACAAGAATTTCACTATCAAAACAAAACAATGAGCTGTATACCTATTGTATACATTATTTTACAAACATGAAATCCCTACTGTCTCTGCTTACACAGTGCCCTCATAAAGCTGTAACACTTTAAGAAAATGCACCCTTTGTATTATCATAAATAATTTTAATATAATGGGATGAACTTTTGCAAGACGACTGCTTTCCAACTATACATATTACACTTAACTATACCTTCACTGTGGAAGAGGGATGACTAAACTACACATAGACCACAAGCTCTCTGCCTGCCCTATAAGTTCAGCCAGCAGATGTGACAATATACAAGGACTGCATGAAGAAACATCAAAGCAGATTTTATTCTTTTTTTGAAAGCTCTCTCAAGGAGAAATACATTGGAAGACTTAAGAGTCTTCTGTTATCCTACAAGCACGTGGTATTAAGACTAAAAAGGCAACTGGCTAAACATCCAGGGGAAGAAAAAAAAAAAAAAAACAACAACCACAACAAAACGGGACTTAAAATTGAGAAGAACAGCACTTCCAAAACACTACAGAACACAGATCCTCAGGAAGAAATCATCATACTTAAAACTGTAAGGCAAAGGCTATTTTAGTTTTGTGGTTCCTGTAATTCCCAGAAAGGTAAGAATTTCTGTAACTTGTCTAATGGATTAAGACAAAAGTCATTAAAGCCAATCCAAAGCACAGTGTCTTTGAGGCAATGCTCTAAGGACTGGCTTTCTATCCCTGCAGAGCCTAGCATCGACCAAAGTTTTGTAACTTTTTACACTATTCTTTTGGCGACTATGATCTCAGCCCTTTACTTTTCCACTTTAAAGTATTCTATGCTGCACCTTTTGGGGTGCTATTGATCCCCAGGTAAATACTACCTTTCAAATTACAGCTCAAATAATTCCTTCCAGCATTTGTTAGCTATCTTGTTAAAATAACTGCCCTGAGTGTGCAAAACAAGCAGAACTGCTAATCAACTTGCATAAAGACTGGACCTGTAGTCCAGCAAGAATGAAGACTTCCATTGTGGAACAAGAATAACAATCCTCTTGACAGCCTGACAATAGAAACTGAAGTTGCATACACCCATTAAATATAGAGGACTACCATGAGAAGTTTAAATCCTATACACCACCCCCCACTGCTCAAAAACATATTTCACACCTCTTTCAGAGTGCAAAACGCAAAAAGAACAATATAAGATACTTTTTTTTTCAAAAATACGTTAAGTTAGGAAAGCCAAAAAACTTTAATAATAATGACAAAACAAATCTCTCAAGCTGGTTTGCTTTCAAGAGCTAGTTTCTATATAAAGATACTCACTGCTTGATTTTCCATACGTGCAAAAATGACATTCAGCATTTGTGTTAGAGTGGCCTTGGCTGTGGTTTGATTTATGAGATTTTTGCTTGCTAGATAGATATTGTAACATGTTCTTACAGCCTGTAGCACTGTTCCTTCGTGGATTTCTATGTGTTGAGATGTTACTGCAGTAAGCAAAGCCTAAATAAACAAACACACACACATATTTTCCAGTCAAAACTTTTCTTGTCCCCCAAATAGTTTGCAAATGAACAAGTATCAAAATACTGCAGTTTAATTAGTCTCCTATGTACTCTTGCAGCCATATTTGAACATCATACATACCAGTTATATTAAATGAGTGTTTTTAATCAACGTATCTAGGAAATACATGTTTCACAGTGTATAACAGCAAGAGGTAACCAATAGAGTTATCAGACCTGCAGTTAGTAAGTCATCCTAGAATTTTCTACACACAAAACATGAATAACAGACTACCTGTTAAAATCTGGAAAGCAAACCAAAGGGTCCAAAAGTTGTTTTACAAGTAAACGTAAATGTGAAGAACAAAGTCTAAGTATGAGATTAGGCAGTTGTAAGTGGGACAATTACCCTTTCTAAACACTGTCTTTGGGTAGATGCTAGAATATTGCATTGTCCTCTGTAGAAACTCACTTCTTTCCTTCCATTTAAGCTAGTATCTGCTTCTCTTTTTTTTACCAAAAAAATACACAAATAAGCCTCTAAAAGATCAGGTAACACAGAGGTAAGGAACACATTGTCTTTATGGGAGGTAGAGGCAGGCTGGATTAAAGAGCAGAAATAGAGGCAGATGAAAGCTGAGGACAGGGTGTGAAGACACTGTCAGAGGTGTTTGTTGGAGAGTGGAAGGAAAGTGAAGGAGCTTGGTCCACAGTAGAACACACATGTTTATACTGATCATTGTACCCCAGTAGAGGAAATCAGGGAATTTTATGCATTAAAGTTTTTGACAGTTAGCGATTTAAAGGGACATTTAGGGTAAGAAAGAACTGGAAGCACTGGAAAGCTCATTCTTTTATAAGTTTATCACAGATAAAAACAAAAGTTATCTTAAGTGTTGTGTAATTTACTCCTCAAACTGTACCTCATTTCTCTTACTGACATTGTCAGTACCTCTGCCCACACATGGCACCAACAAATGGACAAAGAGTATCCATTGCTCACTCAATCCCTTTGAAAATCACTGTACAGCTTAACGGGAAAATCAAAGACCCACCTCACTGAGCAGCTGCTGAAGAGACCCAAATTCTGCTCCTAGATGAGCAGTCCACTTAAGGTCCCTTCTATATTCTGCCCGTGGTGCCTCAGTTCTCTCATTAGTGCCCATAGGGAGGCACATGTATGGATGACTGTACTTACACTTCCTACGGGAGAATATACATTCTTATCTGCGTGACCACTAAACAGCATCTCATGCTACAAAGCAGTATTGCCTAAATGCCCACTAGAATCAAATGAAAAAACATTCACAAAACACCCAACCAACTGAAGAAATCCTAGAGGTAGACAAACTGTAGATAATGGTGCTTGTTAAAGGAACTTAAGTCTCCGAGCACTGGTACTGTTCTTTTTTTCATACCAAAATTCAGTTTACATGTCACCGGCCTTCTAAAAACCAAGAAGTGCTAAGCTGAAACTCATACCACTATCCTTAATTCTTACCCTCTCTGTGCAACAATTCAATACCTCCACAAAATTTATCAATCCCTGCTTCTGCTAATGTAAAAACCATTCAGGGAACAGGTCATATAAAAGCCTTAACAAAACCTAGTGCCTTATCTGGATGGAGATCAGTGATAAGTGGTGTCCCTCAGGGGTCCATATTGGGACCAGTACACTGTTTAATATCTTCAGCAATGACACAGACGGTGGGATTGAGTGCACCCTCAGCAAGTCTGCAGACGACACCAAGCTGTGTGGTGCAGTTCGCACACCTGAGGGACGGGATGCCATCCAGAGGGACCTGAACAAGCTCGAGAAGTAGGCCCTTGTGAATCTCATGAGGTACAACAAGGCCAAGTGCAAAGTCCTGGACTCAGGTCGGGGCAACTCCTGGTAGCAACACAGGCTGGGCTATGAAGGGTTAGAAACCAGACCTGCAGAGAAGGACTTAGGTGTGCTGGTGGACAAAAAGTTGGACATGAGCCAACAATGTGAGCTTGAAGAACCATATCCTGGGTTGCATCAACAGAAGTGTGGGCAGCAGGTCAAGGGAGGTGATTCTCCCCCTCTCCTCCGCTCTGGTGAGACCTCACCTGCAGTGCTGCATCCAGCTCTGGAGCCCTTGGTACAGCAAAGACACAGACCCATTGGAGTGAGTCCACAGGAGGGCCGCAAAGACGACCAGAGAGATGGAACACCTTTATGAGCAAAGGCTGAGAGAGTTGGGGCTGCTCAGCCTGGAGAAGAGAAGGCTCCAGGGAGACCGTATTGCAGCCTTTCAATACTTAAAAGGGGCTTACAAGAAAGATGGGGACAGACTTTTTAGCAGAGCTCTTTGCAATAGGACAAGGGGTAACAGTTTTAAACTAAAAGAGGGTAGACTCAGGCTAGTTATAAGGAAGAATTTTTTGACAACGAGGGTGGTGAAACACTGGCACAGGCTGCCCAGAGAGGTGGCAGATGCCCCATCCCTGGAAACATTCAAGGTCAGGTTGGACGGGACTCCGAGCAACTTGATCCAGCTAAAGATGTCCTTGCTCACTGCAGGGGGGTTGGACTAGATGGCCTTTAAAGCTGCCTTCCAATCCAAACCATTCTATGATCTCTAAATCAATGAGTCTGCCACGAAAAACCTATTTATACATTTAAACCATTCACCACCTGTCCCTTCCCCTCTCCCCTTAATACAAGGACCTTCCACACTGGCCTACACATGTGATTCCATGTGTCGTATTTTCATGTATCTTTCATTGAGTGTTGCGCTGTTCCACCTCTACCTTACTGCTAGGGGGGGGGGGGGGGGGGTGAGACTTGCAGATAGTGAGTTAAAACACACTGAACCTCATTAATTAGAGCTGCACATCTCCTCTGATCAAGTAACATATCTATATCCCCTACACCACAGTACTCTCAGACTCCAAAATTTATTCCTAAAGCTACTCAGATCAATTACAGCTCTGCTGACTTCTCCAACTCTTTCCTACATGTTTCAGGAGCAAATGCCATCACCACGAAGGCAGGTACAGTGATTAGAATCTGCACTCTCCAATTTGGCTGGAAAGGCTGCGCACCTGTACGGACTTTAGTATTCTTTCAAGTTTTGTGCATCAAAGTCCAAAAGGCCAAAACCGAAAGCTCCCTTAATCTTTCACTAGTAATTCTGTAACAGAATTAACCTTGAAGAACTGTGTCTATGCTAGTTTAAAAAAATAAAATCAGTAACTCTTGAAAACAAGACAAACAGGTGGAGCCCTGGCATAAACAGACAGCTATTTTTTCCAAAGCACTCCTGTTTGGGTCCAATACACCAAGTATTTAGTTTTAGTTCAGATTTCTTTCACCCAATTCCAACGGATAACACCAAGAGAAACACACTTACAATATGCCAGTTTAAGAACCACCTACAACTTCTCACTTGGAATATAAGGAATGTGGCTGCCTAGGACTTGGGACACTAACAAAAAGGTGCAGGGGAATCAAATCTCCACCTCTTTCGTTCTAGCTGTCATTCATAAAGTTACTCCTTTGTGTAACCTTCTGCCTCCTTGTTAAGTTCAGGTGATTAAGAATCTGATATTTGAAAGTCCAATTCTAACTTTCATCTCAGGACAGTAAAGTCTTTTCCCAACTTTTAAGAATAGGAGACAATGCCTGCTAGTAGAAAAAGATGACAAGGCTACAGTGGATTATGTGCTCTTTTGTTTGAATTGGCTTAACAGCCTAAATTTCCTAAGTTTCTTCAGCATGCTTGTTATGACTACTAGAGCTTGGTTCTTTACACACCACCTGAAAAGGGCATGTGGAGGCAAACAAATGTTTACACCCACACAAAGACACACCTCCTTAATATATTAAATCTGTCTTTCCAGCAAGGCATCTCCTTGCAGGTATCTACCTATTAAAGAGTTCACCTTGACTACAGAGGTCCTGACAGTCACTTCTTTCAGTTTCTTTCCTTCTCAGGCACAGGAAACAATGAAAGCTAATGATTAACGTACAGGTTTGCAAACTGATAAGCATTTTTAACTTTGATCATTTGCTAGTATCTTTCATATTCCTGTGAAGTTAGAGCCATCCTCAAGCTATCAGTCACACTTACTGCATGTCTCAATGCCTTTCCTTTTCCTCTACTATCACAATCTAGCAGAAACGAGAGAACAAACATGAGACAGGAAATATTTTACAATCACTTTCTGACAACATCCTCCCCTCTTGGGAGATTTCATTTAGGGCTCAATTTCACTGCATGCCCCAAACAATGTCACCTCATTCTGTATCATAAAAAGAGTACATCATTACCACAGCCAGCGTGACAAAGAACCCCGAGAAAC